TTCTTGTTATGGCCAGAGATGAATGTCAGGATTGAACTAGCATCCATGAAAAAGTCTTTTGTTTGATCCGCGCTGTCCCACAGTGGAGCTAAGGCAACAGTTTCCGTTTGGGAACTTAACTGTATCACTGTGTACCCGCTCAAATCACAGCATCACCTGAATGACAAACATGACTGTTCACATGACAGCTGACAAAGAGTATTGTTTAATTTTAATCAAAAGCATTAAAACCCAGCCAATTCAAAAATCCAAAGCATGTGAAGGCTAGGTATATGTGAAGTGCAATGGCATTCTATTTTTATTCAAACTGAAGAATTTAGAGATATTGTTATTTTATAAATGTTTATGTATTGTAGCTTAAAAATTGAGTAACTTCTGATTTTGAATCCCACATGACACTTGGTGATGTCATCTTGTTTTGTGCATGTGTTCAAAAAAAGAAGTAAAGCAAATGGTGTCACAGTCCTGTGAAGGAGGCTGTGTGTAGGTGTTGTTGGTTTAACCTGGCAGGCAGCTAAACAGCACACAGCACTCACTCGCTCACTCACTCCCTTCCTCCCTCCCTCTCCCACCTGAGTGGGATGTGGGAGAGAATTCCCAAAGTAAATTATGGGTGTTGAGACAAAAACAGTTCAATAGGGGAAAAAAAAGGAAAAGAACAATAATTAGAATATACAGAGTAAGCAATGCACATTGCAATTGCTCACCACCCACTGAGTGATGCTCAGACAGTTCCAAGCAGTGGCCTCTGGCCAGTTTTCCCCCCCCATTTTATATACTGGGCAGAACATCTTATGGTGTGGAATCTCAGCTGGGATCAGCTGTCCTGGCTGTGCCCTCTCCCAGCTCCTTGTGCCCTGCAGCCTTCTTGCTGGCAGCGTGGGGTGAGAAGCTGAAAAGCCCTTGACTTAGTGTAAACACTCCCCAGCAACAACCAAAACATCAGTGTGTTATCTGCATTATTATTATTTCCAGAATCCAAAACACAGCCCTGTAGCAGTTACTAGGAAGAAAATGAACTGGATTGCAGTGGAAACCAGGACAGCAAATCAGAGAGGCATTCTTCCTGTGGCTGCCAGCGTTTCCAAGGATGCATGTATGCTACAGCTAAGCTGGCCTACTAACTAGGTACTGCTAGGAGGGGTCTCATTCTCCCTGGCAATGGGCACTCTGGCTGTCAGTGTCCAGCCTCAGTCTGCACCAGGGAGCTGCCACAGGTCATTCTTCTGCTTCCATCTAAGACTAGGTCCAGCAGTATGGTAGTGTTGTACTAGCACCTGGGTATGTAAACTTGGAGGATTGGGAGGTTTTTTATTTCTTTCTTACCAACACAAAGGAGTCCTGGTGGAAAAGGAAGGAAAATAATTTTAATTTTCAGAACCATATAATTTCTCTCCTCCAGATAGTTGAAAACAATCAGGGATATTCAGACTAAATAATATTAGTTCACATTTCTGCAACAGCTTATAAGCCCTAAGGAAAGAGCCCTGTGGTGCCATCTGCCTTTGCAAGAAGCTGGAGTCAGTGTCTGCATATTTTGATGAGCAGTAAATGCCTCCCCACACGATTCTACAAAAGATGGTGGTAGGTTTTTTGAGTAATGAATGGCCAGCACTGATGTTTTCGGACAAAATATCGAGGTTTGTCTGTGGTAAAACAGCACGAACCACATCAGTTTCCCTGGGTTTCTGAACGCACACACACAGATCTGAACCCTTTCAGAAGAGAGGGCTTTTGTAAAGCTTCACTTGTCTAAATTGCTAAATAAGCTTTTAAAACCTTTTCCCGTTTATGCTTGAAACTGAAATACATAATTTCCTGGACACAGTCCTTGCTCCTCAGCTGAAGGCTGTTGTGCAAGCGCTCTTGTCACATTTGAGTAAAGATATCTCTGTAGCATCAAAATGAAGAGAACGTACCCCACCTCCCTGCCCTGACCAAGTCAGGGGTATACAAGACAAAGGTCTCACAGGTCTTTTCTCAGAGCCTTCCACACACTTGACCTCTTAAGGTATCAGAAATCCAGTCTGAATACACCTTTTTTCTCCCCCGATTTGTAGCAAATAAGAAAAAAAAGGGATTTGGAGAACAGGAGGGCATCTAATATTACTTATATATATATAAATATATATATAAAACTATATGTGCACATAACTATATAAACTACATTTATATTAAACACACACATATATATATATATATAAACGTATTTTGTCACTTAGCTGGCCAGCCACTACCTGCCTCTGAAAGACTCTAGGGAGTCGTTTACTGAAGAAGTTCCTGAAACTTGTGATAGAGCATCATACCTACCTTAAATATTCAAAAAGAAGACCATGACTCCTACATATGTTAGTCATGATCATTATTCGACCTTCAGGGGTTACAGGTCGGTGGAAACCGTGTGGGAAGTCCCCGTTTCACCCCGCTGAGAACTTTGTTGCAGTTGATCCTTCACCCTCAGGCTCCAGCCTGGTTCCAGCCCTTATCCAACTGCCATCAACCACCGCCTCCTCCCAGCTCAATGTATTTAATACCTGACACATTTAGACGTGATATATTTATGACAAGGCATTTTAACATGACTTTGCCCCAACCGCGGCACTGGACCCGTACGGGCTATGGGCCCATGCAGCAGTCGGAGCCGTGCTCAGATCCTTCAGACGCAACTCGCGGGATGCCGCGGGCCCCGGCGCCAAACGAACGCCTGCAAAGCCGCGGCCGCAGCGGCGGGCCCAGCCCAGGCCTGGGTGGCGGCCGGCGGCGCAG